ATTCGCCCATTGGCCTCTGATCATCATGGCCTCCTAACCATCCCCATATCCGCTGATTGACTTAATCACTCTGTCTCCTCTCCACCAATAAGCTGGTGTGTGGTGAGCATTCTGGCGCAATATGGCTGCCGTCGCACCAGGTGGATGCTGCACACTGGTGGTGTTTGAGGAGATTCCCCCCTTCTATGTAAAGCACTTTGAGTGCCCAGAAAAGCGCTATATAAATGTAAGGAATTATTATTATTAATTACTTCAGGACCAGGATTGGGAGCCACTGCTATAGGACCTTAGTGGTCCCCTCTTATTACAGGGCCTTGTTCAACATTCTCGTTTGAATGTCTTGCACTACAACACAAAATATTTTACCAAAATATTTTATAATGGACTCCAGCTTTTACATTTCCTCACTGATGAGAGCAATCATGGAGCAAGAGAAAACATAGATGATCTGATATAAATAAGGAAATGTGAAACTCTCGGAATGCTGGAAATTTACATTAGAGAACTGGAACTTACCGTTATATAGGCAACTGTAAATATCCCTGTTTCGTTTGTTAAAGGGGTCACAGGTGGTCTCACTGGAGCGGCAGGTGGAGAGTGTGGAGAGGAGTATTGTGTTCCTTAGACAGGAGCAGCTGTCTCTGCTGCATGGACTACATCTGGAGATCCTGTCCCTCCAGAAACGCTGTACAGGTGTGTGTCATGACCATTCCCACAGTACAGCCACCTGCATTTGATTTTGAGTTATTGTACACACATGAAACAACATGCATAATTGAATTGAGCAACATTTCATTTATCATAAATCACAACTAATTCGATGTCATTCCAAAAATAATGTTGGCACACAATCTAATTGAGTTGCCGTGCTCTAGATGCACAGATCCTAAGCAGTGAAGAGCAGGGTTATGCTGCTCACTTTGATGGCACAGGCTGCACAGAGAGAACCACGGGTCAATAGCTTCCTGTCAGTGCAGGGTTTGTGTTTTCCCTCACAGTAATATAGGTCACGGCCTTTCTACCTGAACATTACTGGAAATGTGCTGAGCCAGCTAGGGCAGAAAAACCAGCACACTGCATATTCATCTTTTTGCTCTTCTGTCCTGTAGAGCAACAAATCATGCTAGTTTAGAGCCTTCTTGGTATCTGCAACACAGGAAATCAGTTTTTCCTTTGCAACCCCTTGTTATATATATATATAAAAAGTTTGTGGTCAGTAAGATTTTTTAATGTTTTTTAAGTCATATTCAACATTTATTCTCATATTGTAGAATGTTATTAAAATTAAAAACAACTGTTATCAATTTTAATATATTTTCAAAAGTAATAGATTCGTGTGATAGATTTATAACAGATTTTTGTGGAAACCATGATATTTTTTTCATGATTCTGTGATGAATAGAAAATTCAAAAGAC